AAAGAAAAACTACCTTCTCTTATAAATGAGAAAATTAGGCCCAGGAAGGATTGCCACACACACACATCACCGAACTCCAATTACTTTGCCGCCAATGTTTATACATACTTCTGCTCTTCCAGTTACCTTTCCTTTTTTGGACACAAGGCCAGTAATTAGTGTGATATGGAGACTCTGGGAAAGGCTCCATTCACCAATGAGTAGATTTATTATTTTCCATGGAGTCCTTAAAATAAAAGTGCCTTTAGGAGGTAAAAATAATAAAAATGTATAGTTTCCATGAAGGAACTCCCACATTTTGAGATTAGTAGGTGCTCTGTTGTTTCACACAACTGATGATCATCATTGTACTAGAGTGGATTCTACAACAAGGGAATCTGAGCAACTGGGGAGCAAGGGTAGGTACCTGGTGGGGGTGTTCATTTGGGTGGAAGTGTTTTGGAAAACTGCCTGGATTAGACTTGTAAGGAACAATAAAGAGTACTATAAGAAACCATTTCGTTTAAAAGCTAGATCAGTGGTCCATAACTGGAGGTGATCTCCCCCAACCCCATCTTTGGCAATGTCTGGAAAGATCTCTATCACAGTGGGAAAGGCTTGGGAATCTAATGGGCAGAAACTGAGTAAGCTGCCAAACAATCTAGAACACACAGTCCCCACAACAAGAATTAGCTATCTGAAATGTCAATACTTCCAAGTGTGAAGAAGTGTACTAGAGGGAGAAAAAAAATTTGAGGTACTAGAGGACTTGTTAGTTTATGATGTTTTTAAAAAGTTAGAATATGTCACACCCCAACCTTTTGTTCTATTTTGTGTGTGGGGGTAACAGTTACTGGGAATTCTGGAGACAATTTCCTTGCAGTTCACAAATTCTCATGACATCTTTGTGGAAGAATAGGAGTCAATAAAACAGTTCGGTTACATAGATTTGGAAATATTTGCCCATCTATATACTCAAATGTCTACTGAGGAATGCTTGATGGCAGAAAAAATAGGGTAACATAACAGAGTTCTGTCCTTGGCTCTGTCTTACTAAACACTATTAAACAACTCTAAGAAAGACTTGAATAGACTAACTTGAGGAGGATGATCCAGAAAGGGTAAGAACCCAAAACGATGTTGACTACCTGGATTGATGAGTTGCTTAGTTTAGAGCACCACAGTACCTTAGGGACACCAACAACCTACAGGGTCTACAGAGAATAAGGGACCAACGTGGAAAAGCTGGAAAGGACCTGGGGATATTGGAATGATGATCAAAAACCGTTAAAATAAAGGAGCGTTGGTATAAGAAGGCACTAAGAGGGAGCGTCGTCTCTGCACTGTGCCCCGGATGGAAACGCAACAGGCTGAAGGAATGGATTTTGGCCGGCTAGGAGAGGTTTATATTTGCTCAGAATTCAGTCCCTCAGGGACTGCCTTTCATAGCACTTTCCGTGTGTCGTCCCTTCACACCAGGGCTCAGGCAGGTCTCCAGAGCACGGCCTCGTGCTGGGCAAAGGCCGGCCTACGGAATTCCAAATCCTCTCCGAAATCCGTGAAACAGCTGTGGCCCTTGGCATCCTTCCCGGTTTTCAGGACCTCATTCTCAGCTGCCTTTTTTTTTTTTTGAGTCGTCTGCAGAATCAGGGAATTCTGCAGAACTTTGCACTCGTCCAGGTTGTTGAAATGATTTGCGACGTGCCTGCCGGGACAAGAGGAATCTCTTCAAAGGGAATTGGTTTTCCCTCAGGAGATAACAGCCATTTGGGAGCAGAAAGGCTTTGGGGCGTCGCCATGCTCCGACCCCGCCTCGGGGAAACCGGGCGTTCGCACACAAACCGAGGAAAACTAGGCTGCTCGCCTCCAATTCCTAAGAGCCCGAAAGAGCCGCACTTTATAGCTGGAGGCGCGGGACCGCGAGCGCGCGCCCGCCCACAGGGGTGGGGGTGGGGGGTGAGGGGGCTACGACACGACAGAGCCGACCAATGAGCGCGCCCGGTCTCCGCGGGGGTTCAGTATTGGACGAGCCGGCAGTGGGCCGGCCGCGCCGCCGAGGGCCCGGCCTAGGCGCGCCCGCTGCGCTAGAGTCCCGGGGGCGCGTGCGCGGTCTCGCGGCGGCCGCGGGGGCCGGTCTCGCGCGGTCTCGAGGTGGAGTTGCCCGGGGCGGCGACGGCGGCGACGGAGGAGGCTGGCGGTGGGGAGGGGGCGGGGACTGGAGATTCTGAGGTGGGGACTTGGAGTTTCTGGATTCTTTCTCCGGTGTCCGGAGGGCCGCCCGCCGGAGGGCTGTGGCGTCGGTGGTGAGAGGAGCGGCGGGGCGGGCGGCTAAGCCGCCGGGCGCGGAGGTAAGAGGCGGACGGCGGCGGCGGGCTGTGGAAGACAGTGATCAACAGGTCCCGCGCGCGGGGGAGGGGCGGCGGGCGCGTCCCCTCCCCCACTGCGGGCGCCGGGCGGTGCCGAGGGCTGGGGCAGGCCTCGCTGGGTCGGGCTGCGGGACCGGTGGCCGCGGCTACCGCCTCACCTTTGTCCTGCCTGCTCCGCGCGCCTCGGTCCCCGAGACCTCGGCGCTGTCGCCCGCCGGAGTCGTGGGGCGTGCGGCGGGGAGGCGTCGGCGTGCTGGGCCGGGGACTCCCGGGACTCCTTCCCGGACAGGTCGGGGAATCCGCGGGGAAAACACTTTCCTTGGAGGACGGAATGCAGCCCGCGTTCCTGCTCCTGAGTCAGCCCTGGTGTTCGGCTACTCCTCGGTTCCTCCGGTGGATTCGCGATTCTTGCTTCCTTGTGACCGGGTGGAGAAATCCCAATAGCCTTGAAGCTTTCTCAGAACTTGTACCGAGATTGCAAGCTGAACTTTGAAGCCTGTTAAGTTGCTGTAAGTTACTTTCAATGAAAGCCGCTGGAAACGATCTTTATTGCGAATTATGTAACTTCCTAAGGATAACTCACCTTCTGTTTAGGTGATTGACACACAGTCATGTATGTGGAATTTAGGTTTCGGTCGAAAGGTTTTTCGAGGTAGTTTCCGCCGACATTAAAATCCAGAATGTTTTAAAAGTAGTGTTTTGTCGTCGTCTTTAGCGTTTTAAGAATTTAGATTTAGAAAGCCAGTATCCCAAGAATGCTCAAGTTTTGGTTTGACTGACAAGGTGAAAAAGTGTTACTATTTCAGATTTTTCAAAACACTATCGTGTTATAATGGTAGTATTCCAATTACTCTTTTGAATTATGCCAGAAGTTAATAACCTGTTAAGTTCTGCAATACGAACAAATTATGTAATGGTTACTGGTGTCTTTGAAGTACGAGTATTGGTGGTAATGAAAATTGTTAAATAAGCTTTCTTGAATATGATTTTTTATAAGATCCCCGTGGACATACTTTCTTGTTTTAAAAGGCCGTCTAAACTAGTGTAGCAGACTGACATTATTAAAGTTGAAGAGCTTTATAAATAAAACAAAAATCTGAAAGGGGATCGATAATCTTTGCTTTAAAAAAATGAAGTAAATCTTGCCAGATTACTAAAAGTCATTATCTTGAACTTGGCAAGTAAAGGTGGACTCAGTGCTGTTGTTTTAGAATATCAAAACATGAGAGATTTATGTAAATTCTGCTTAAAGGTGACTCAAATCAATACAGTGGTTTAGCTATCTATATGTTCTTTCTGAATTGTGATTTTTGTTTTAGGTTATTTAAATTGCGTGTGTGTGTGTGTGTATGTGTATGTATGTGTATGTATGTGTATCCCTGTGCACATGAATGCAGGTGTGGTGGAGGCCAGAGGCATCGAACCCCCTGGAACTTGAGTTCCATGAGATTGTGAGCCTCAGGCTGAATATGGGTCTGGGAACTGAACTCCATCTTCTACAAGCAGTACATGCTCTTAACCTCTAAGCTGTCTATCTCTGAAGCCCCTGAATTGTGATCTTGATTAAAAATCTCATCACATTATTAAGGATAATCTCCTTAAAGTCAGTTGATACAGTTGTTTGTTTTTTTCTTTCCCCTTTTTTTTTTTGAGACAGCCCTGGGTGTCTTGGAACTCCCTATGTGGATCAGGCTCCCCTCTGCCTAACAGCCATCAGCCTCAGCCTCCAGAGTGCTGGGACTAAAGGCATGTGCTACCACACCCAACACTTTTCTCCTAAAACTGGTGGTGTAACACAGACTGGCCTCAAACTCCTGATTCTCCTGCCTCAGCCTCCCAAGTGTTGACATTACAGTCATGTTCCTCTATGTCCAGCTCTTCATGATATCTTATTAAATAAATCAATAGTTACTTTCTCCAAATCATACATGTAACTGGCAGGTTTTTTTTTTTTGTTTTTTGTTTTTTTCCCTTCTGCCTGCTTATTTTTCTTTTTAAATAAGTACACCACAGTTCATTTCTTTTCTGAAGGTTTATTTTCAGTATTTCAAACAATGTTTGATCAATATGTGTCTCCTTGAAAAAAACATATGGTTTCCCAGAATGTTTATCACCTGGAAGGGGAATTGCTCGTAATAGGTTGATGTGCTTTTTTAACTTTACCAATTATGGCCAAATTACCCTCTAAAGAGAAATGATTTTCATTCTTGTACTTAGTCTGTAAGTGAAAGTGATTTTTTTCACCTTTACTCCCCATTGATGTTGTCAGATTTAAAATTTTCTGTTTCTTTTCTTTGAAAAATATTTCACCTTTATATATTGCCACAGTCAGATACAGAATAGTTTTCATGTGCTATCCTTTAGTCAACCTTCTCCGAACTCTTTATACCTGGCAACCAATGATCTGTTCTCCCTTTTTATAATTTGTCTTTCTATATATATCATTTAAATTTAATCATAACAGTAATTAGCTTTTTTCCTTTTTATTTGAAACTTTTACAGTTTATTAATCCTCTTGTGAAAAATTTGTCTATTGCACATAAAGACTTGCAGAATCTTTACTATTTTTTTCAAGAGGGTGTTTTTTTTTTTTTTTTTAGCGAGGGCCTTGCTATCTAGTCCAGGTATACTTTGTCTTTCCAGTCCTCCTGACTGCCTTCATTCTGTTCTTGCATTCCTTTCACTGTTTCTTGAGGTCTTTTTCTTATATAGGCCATGTCTTATAAGTCTATGTAAAGATATGGAATGCTCTGTGAATTTGCATGCCATCCATGTAAGGGCCATGGTAATCTCTTTATCGTGCCAGTTTTAGTATGTGTGCTGCTGAAACAAGCCTTCAGTCTGCTTTTCTTTGATTTAGCATGATATATTTGAAATTCATGCGTGCTGATTTATTGCTGATTGCAGTATTCCTTTGTATGAATGTACACTATTTGTTTATCCATTCACTAGTTAAAAGACAACATTTGAGTTTTCAGCCTTTTTATGATTATTCATAAAGCTATCATAAATCTGTGTGAATAGGTCATTGTCTGAACATACCTTCCTTTCTCTAGGATAAGTCCCTACAAGTAGGAGTCTAGTTTATATGATCAAATGTGAGTTTAACTTTATTTAAAATGAACCAAAACAACAAAAACCTGTCTGCAGTAGGCAAAATAATGGTTCTCAAAGATGTTCTAATGATAAGAACATGTGAAGATACTTGGTTACATGACAAAATTGAATTAAGGTTGTTAATCAGCTGACTTTAAAATAGGGAGATTATCAAAGTGGGTCCAGTTATCAAAAGAGTCTTTAAAAGGAGAAAGACAAAGGCCAGAGAGATGGAGTCAGAAAAAAAGATGCAACAGTAGAAACAGCTTCTAGTTACAACACTTGTGGGCTCAAAGATAGAAGAGAGGAAGCCAAGGAATTTGCTTGGTCTCTAGAAGGTAGAAAATGGCAGGAAATGGATTTGGCACCTGCTGAGAAAAAGCAACTCCTGTGCTAAGAACTTAAGTTTTAGCCCAGGGACACCTGAGTTAGGCTTCTAACTTACAGATTTGAAAATTCTTAAGTTTGTGTTGCTTTAAAAGCTATTACGGTTTTGGCGCTTTGTTGTAGCAGCCTAGGAACCAAATGCACTGTCACATTCTTTTAAAAGTGGCTGAACCACTTTACATTCCTGCCAGCAATATGTGAGTATTCTTCACCAGCACTTGGTATGGTCAGTCTTTTTCATTTTAGCCATTATAATAGGCCTATAATAGTGTATCATCGTATTTTTTAAGTTGCAGTTCTTATAACTAAGGATGTTGAGCTTATTTGCATTCTTGTTTGTGAAGTATCTAAATCCTGTACTCATTTTTATTTTTCTGTGACAGCAGCTCACTTTCTTGCCCAAATTGTCCTTGAATTCCTGATTTTCCTGCCTTAGCCTCCTGAGTAGTTGGAACCTTTGTATGCAACAGCTCACTAGGCTTCTATTTTCTTACTGAGTTTTGAGAGCTTTGTTTTACGGTGCTGGAAATGAAACTGAAGGCGTTGCATATGCTAGACAAGGTGATTTATTTCTGACCTAGCCCAAGTTTTGAGAGCTCATTATAGTCCTTTGTCAGTTTTTTTCTCCTAGTCTATGATGTACATTTTCATCTTCATAACAGTGTCTTCTGGAGTGTTAATGCCTTTTTAAAAAAATCTTTTTTGATTTACCTGTATGAGTGTTATGCCTGCATGTGTGTAAGTGCACCTGTGTTGGACAGTGACCATGGAGGATAGAAGAAGGCATCAGATCCCCTGGAACTGGAATTACCCACTGTTGTTAGCCACCATGTTGGTGCTGGGATTCGAACCTGCGTCTTCTGCAAGAAGAGCCGGTGTTCTTTACCATCTCTTCAGCACCTCGTATTGATGTCTTAAACTTTGATTAAGCCCAAGTTACCAATTATTTATTTTATGGTTCTAATCTGTGATACTGTATCTGAGGAACTCTGCCTTACTTGAAGTCACTGAAATTTTTTCTCTTAAAAGTTTTATATTTTTATACTTCACACTTATATCTGTGTTCCATTTTGAATTAATTGTAATAAAACGAGAGAAGTAGTTTTGTTTATTTGTCCTATTATTCCATGACACGTGAAAAGACTGCTTATCAAAATGTTCTGTTTTTGTCAAAAATAATATAATGCTTTTGTTTTATTGATCTATTTGTCTATCATTTTGCCAATAATACATTTTCTTTATTATTACAGAATAAACATGTCTTAATATCAGATAATGTGAGTACTCCAACTATTCTTTTTCAAAATTGTGATTATTTTAGTTCCATTTTCTTTCCATGTAATATCTAGAATCTGGTTGTTCATGATAGCCACAAAAATAGCTCTTGGTATTTTGATTGGGAGTATGTTTTATTTATAGATCAACCTAGAATCTTAGCAATATTATCATGTTATTTATTTGTATTTAATTTTGTGGTACAGAGGATTGAAACCAAGGTCTTGGGCATCTAGGCAAATGCTATATCACTATAGCTAAACTATATCTCCAGCCCAGGCCTAGTAATTTATAATATTTTTCTTCATTTATTTTGGTCTTTGATTCTTTCATGAATTTTCAATTTTCAATATGTAGATCTTGCAGTTTATTTGGAAGATACAGAAGTATTTCAATCCTTGGTTTCATTGTAAATGACAAAATGATAATTTAGAAAATTTCATTTTCTAATTTATAGTTAGTGTATAGACATTGTTTTGTTTCTGTACTTGTTTTGAGACAGGGTCTCATTATGTAGCTCACAGTGACTTGGAACTAAAAAATCCTCCTGCCTCATCTTCTCAAGTGCTGGGGATTGCAAACATATATTGTTATATCACCCTCCCTGCTCCCCTCCTTTTGACGTAGTGTCTTAATATGTTATCCCCACTGGCTTTGAAATCCTGGGCTCAAAAGATCCTCCTGCCTCAGTTTCCCAGATAGCTGGGACTGTAGGCATTTGCCACCATCTCTGCATACTAAATTCATTTGTTGGCTTGCTTTATTCTATCTTTCTCTCCCCCTGCCCCACTTCTTGGTAGATATATTGTGATTTTTCTGATTAAATAGTGTATCACAAAGAAATTTTCCAAGATTGGAGAGATGACTTAGCAGCTAAGGACCTGGGGACAGTTCCCAGCACCCATATGGCAGCTAACAACCAGGCATAACTCTAGTTCCAGGGGATCTGCTGCGCTCTTTTCTGAGCATGGGGTGCACTTACATACATGTAGGCAAAACACTCATACACATAAAATAATTTTTTTTAAAAAAAGGAATTTTCCTTTTTAGTCTGAATGCTGATCTCCCCCAACCCCCTTTAAACTTTCCACTGGCTAGGACTTCAGTGATACTAGGTAAGATAGATAAAGAGGGCGTCCTTGTTTCATTTTCCTAAAGGAAAAATTTTCAGCTTTTTACCTTTAAAATATTATGCTAGTCGTTTTGTGAATTCTTTTAACCAAGTAAAGGTTTCAAAAGGTTTCAAGATTTTTTTGGTTAGTTTTTATCATGAATGGATGTTGAATTTTGTCATGCGTTTTCTGCATTTATTGAGATAATCAATGGGTTTTATGTTGTTGTTGTTGTTTTTTTCTTTCAGTCTGTTAAAATGATTCCTACTGACTTTTCAGTGTTGAGCCAGACTCGTATGCTTCTAGGGTTATTTTAAACAAAAATCATTTGGATTTCTTTTTAGAACTAATGCATATTAAAGTTCTTAACAATGAAGGAGGACTGGGGATGTAGCTCAGTGATAGTACTGCCAAGAAAGAAAGATAAGGAAAGGAGACTAACAATTTTGTAAACTAAAGTACTTTACAAAATCAGGAGAGTCAAAACATTGATTAGCAGTTACCTATGTTTTGTATGTTAGTGGTACTTAAAATTCGTTGTGCGCGTGCGCGATTTGCCTATATATGCAAATATGCCCATTCATGGAGGCCAGTGGTCAGATATTCTACAGTTGTTGTCCACCTTGTTTTTTGAGACAAGATTTCTCATTGGCCTGGGGTGCTCTGATTAGGCTAGGCTGGCTGGCCACCAAGTCCCCCAAGACCTACCTGTCTCTGCCTCCAAGTGCTGGGATTCCAAGTATGGCCTACTAGACCTGTTTTTTTTTTTTTTTTAAATGTGTATGAATGTATTGCCTGCATGTATGTGAGTGCACCTGTGTTGTGCAGTGCTGCGGAGGTCAGAAGAGGACTTTGGATTCCCCTGGAACTGGAGTTAAGGATGGTTTGTAGCCATATATGGGTGCTGGGATTCAAACCCAGGTCCCCTGCAAGAGCAGTCAGTGCTCTTAACCGCTGAGCCATCTTTCTAGCCCCTAGACCTGGCTTTTTATTTATTTATTTTTTTAAATGTGGGTTCTGGGGATCAAACTCAGATCCTCATGCTTGCACGGTAAGTACTTTACCGATTAAACTGTTTCCTCAGTCCTGAACTTAAAATTTCTTGATACATAGTAGAGTTTGGAAACTGGAGGATTCTTCTTTAAAACTGCAAAGAAAATGTTATGTGTATCACTATAATCAAACATTCTTCACACTGGGTTTATTTAAACATGTTGCTTAAATGGCTTTGAAAAGCAAATTATGGGTGGTTTTTTTTTTTTTTTTGCTTTTTCTTTTTAAACAAATGTTCATAGAAACTATTCATAGTAAAAATCCATATATCTTTTAATGGAAAAAAAACATTAAACTGGTACATTCATTCCATGAAATAATATTCACCAGTAAAAAGGAGCAAATTGCTGATATGTGGAGTAACCTGAATGAATCTCCAGAGATACTGTGAAGGGGGGGGGGGGCAGAATCTTAAGTTACTATGTGGTTCCGTTTATATAACATTCCTAAAATGACAAAATCAGAATTGGTGAACAGATTAGTTGTTGCTAGGGGTTACGGAGATGATAGGGAAATAGGCATAACTTTAAAAGGGAAGCATTAAGGGTCTTCATGATGATGGAGATCTTCTGGATCTTACCTATCACTGTGAGCAAAATAATTGTGATACTATAGTATAGTTGGGAGAAAGTTGGTAAAGAATGGGTAGATCTCTGTTAGTTTTTACAACTGCATGTGGATTTCAAAATAAAAAATAGTTTAGGGCCATGTGTGGTGATCCACTCCTTTAATCCCAGTGTAGATTTCTGTGGGATCAAAGTCAGCCTGGTCTACATTATGAGTTCCAGGCCATCTGGTGCCCATGCAGGGAGATGCTGTCAAAAAAAAAAAAAAAAAGAACTTACGAAGAACTTGAACACAGAAAAGTCTAACAAGTTGTATATTGGAGACATAAAATCTGGAGAAATGCTTGGAATAAATTGTGTTCCTTATAAAGAATGAGGCCATCCAGACAAGAATTTGAGGTAGATAAAAGGAAGGTAGATAAAAGGAATACATTCAGTTTGCACACCAGAGAATTTCTGGAGAGTATTGTAGACTTTTCTCTCTGTCTGGTTACACTACAACCAGGACTGGTATATAAGTAGTCCTCTATCCATGTTGTCTCTTCTGTTTATCCATTAGCGTCACTGCCCAGAAGAGACCCTAGACTGAGAAATGGCAGTGTTTATCTACAGAAAAAGGTGGGAAATGATAAAAATATTAATGTCTGCCTTACTTTTCCTGTCAATATCATAGTCCAGGAGTGTTGAAATTATCTAAAAGGGGAAGAGACACAAAATTATACCATCACATACTATGAAGGAAGAGAACAGATTTTTATGAGCGTGTAAAGCAAATGGACTTAGCCTAGGATGGTGTGAGGAAAAGCTTCTAAGATGTTCTCTTGAAGCCAGATGTGATGGCTCATGCCCATAATCCCAGCACTTGGGAGCTCAAGGAAGTAGAATTGCTTTGAGACCAGCCTGGGCTATAGAGGAAAACCTGTCTGAAAAACCAGCCCCTCACCAAAGTCTTAATGGGATAATAGTTTGTGTGGAAGTATAGGGGGACCAAATGTGCATTAGAAGGGCTGAAAGAAGACTCAGTAGCTGCAGTAAAATTTAAGTATTCGTATGGAAATCTTAATTCAACATGTCCATTTAACATAGGAAATTTTATATATATATAATTAAATTTTTTATTTATTTTTACTTTTATGTGTCTAAGTGTTTTGCCTGCCTGTTATGTAAGTGTACCATATGTGTGCAGTGCCCATGAAGGCCAGAAGAGGGCACTGAGTACCCCAGAACTGGAGTTATAAATGGTTGTTAGTCACCATATGGATGATGGGAACCAAACCTGGGTCCTCTGTAAGAGGAACCAGTGCTCTTAACCACTGAACTATCTCTCCAGCCCTCATATATACATATATACACATACATATATATATGTATATATACATATATACACACATATATACACACATATATATAAAAATTTTAATATAATTATACAGATAGATTTTTGTTGTTGTTGTTGTTAAAGACAGGATCTCACAGTATTGCCCAGGTTGGCCTCAAACTTGACATCCTCCCACCTCAGCCTCTTGAGTACTGAGTTTCCAGGTATATGCAATTGTGTCTAGCTGGTGAATTTTATTTTGAATGAAGACAAATGATTTAATTTTTGTTGTTTTTATTAGAATGAAAATATGGTGGTGTTCCTTCCTTTCACCAGGAAATCACCCATTGATTAGCCATATAAATATTTTGGTTGGTCACAGTGATTTCCAGTGAATGTGTTAAATTAAAAACTGAAGCAAGGTCGGGTGTGGTGGCCCACACTTTTAATCCCAGCACTTGGGAGGCAGAGGCAGGCGGATCTTTGTGAGTTTAAGGCCAGCCTGGTCTACATAGTGAGTTCCAGGACAGCTGAGGCACAGGGAGACCCTGTCTCAAAACAAAAAAAAAAAAAAAAAAAAAAAAAAAAAAAAAAGAAGTGAGACAAAGTGCCTGTCTGTTTTGTTTTGAACCTAATACCTTCATGAACATGTGGATGAATGGAAAAATCTGCATCCTCACTAAATATGTATTGAATTGTGAGGTTTTTCTTCTATCAAGTCAAATTACAGATAATAGTTGAATTATGCAGATTATGATTTTGGTAATTTCATAATCAAGTTGTTTATTTGATCATGTTTAAAAATTTGAGTTTATCAAACCATTTAACATGACATAAATTCAAGCATTTGACCTTTTTGGTTTTTTAAGTTTGCAGTTCCTTTTTCAGTTAATTCTCTCAAAGATGCTACACATTTAGGTTTTGAGGTCTCTTAGGTTATTTGTCTATTGAACTGTTAAGGCATGGGAGGATTACTTTCTGTAAGTATTTTAAGTTTTGTGGGCCATCTTGTCTCTGTTGCAGATATTCAGTTCTGCTTTTAGAGTACAAAGGTAGTTACCCAAATGAACATGACTGTGTTCCAGTAAAACTTTATGGTTCATGCATCACTTAATGACAGGGATATGTTCTGAGAAATGTGGTAGGTCATTAGGTGAATTTTTCATGATGTGAACAGCACTGGGTGTGCTTACACAAGCCTAAATGGCATAGACCAGTCATTCTACAAGGCCTCTTGATGCAGTCAAGAGTTGCTGAAAACAGTAAATGCATGCTACCATTTTAACATAGCATACTGTTTCACAGTAAACTTTTTATAAGTGGGAGTACACTCCAAAATAATCACTAAAAGTGCAGTAGAAATAGTAAAACATACTCCAGTAATGTAACTTGTTACTCTTAAGTATTCCATACTATATATAATTATATATATTATTCTTTTATATGCAATAGGTTTTGTTTACAACACCATCACCACCAATGTGTGATCCATTATAATCTTATGGGATCAGTGTCTTAATGTCTCTTTGACGAGTCTTTATGTGGTGCATTGCTGTACTTATAAAAGCAAGGTGTTCAGGACTTGAGATGGTTCAGTGGTTGAGAGCACTTGCTGCTCTTTCATAGGACCTGCATTCAGTTCTCAGTACCCATTTGGAAGCTAACAACCACCTATAACACCAATTCCAGGGATTTGATGCCTCTTTTGACCTCCCTGTCTCCAGGCATGTACATGGGTCACATGTATGCAGGCACTCACACATAAACACATAAAATAAAAAATAAGTCTTTAAAAAGCAACAAGGTATACTTGATTTGACTTTGGGGCTTTGTTTATGTGCCTCAGCTTTAAGGCAAAAAAAAAAAAATCAGTGGGAGGAATGACAATTGTAGTAAAAGTTTAAATTGAAGTCTGATTTTGTTAAAATTTTAAATATATTTTGGGAATTTAAAATTTTTATCACATTTATTTATTTGGGGAGTCATACATCTGCCTCGGTGCACATATGAAGGTTAGATGACAACTTTTAGGAGTTGATGCTCTCCTTCCACCATGTTGGTCCTGGGGATTAATTGAACTCAATTGCTTTTACCAGCTGAGCCCATCTTGCTGGCCCTGATTTGGAGGATTTTTAGTATTACATTTAAACACTACTTGCCTAGCCCAAGATCATAAAGAGGTTTATACATACATATGTGTGTGTGTGTGTGTGTGTGTGTGTGTGTGTGTGTATGTGTGTATATATATATATGGTCTTTTGAGACAGGATCTCCATGTAGCCCCAACTGGCCTTAAACTCACTATGTAGACCAGGCTGGCCTCAAATTCACAGAGGTCCACCTGCCTCTGTCTCTCAAGTGCTGGGTCCCCTATATTTTCTTGTATAAGTTTTATAGTTTTATATTTTAGATTTAGGCTTATGGTCCATTTTAGGTGACATTTGGAATTTACTTTATCTAGTTCCATAAGCACTTGTTGAAAAGGCTGTTTTTCCTCCACTGACTTGCCCATGTCTCTTTTTCAGAAACTACTGTCAGTACTGTGTGGATCTGTTTGTGAGCTTCTTTATCCCATTGATGTGTCTCTTCTTTTGACAGGACTCTACAGTCCTGGTTCCTGGAGCTACTTGAGTCAGGTAGTCTGAATTCTCTATCCAACTTTCTTCTTTTTGAAAATTCTTATGACTGGTTTAGTCTATATAAAATTTAGAGTAAGCTTGTTAACGTCTATAAAGTTATTTTGTGTACATTTTGATAGGAATTGTGCAAAAACAATAAGAAAAGTTAAATAATAATATTAAATCCTCAGTGGGTTATACAAGCATGATGATGAAGTAGAATACATAAGAATGTGTGAATTTCTACTCTTTACAGTACACAGAGTTGTATAATGATTACTTATATGTCTTAGAAGGCAACTTTTTTTCTTTTGATAAATGTGTTTTGTTGCCAAATGTGGTGGTGCAGTACTTGGGAGGCAGCGGGAAGTGGATTTCTATGAGTTTTAGGCCAACCAAGCCTACATAGGGAGACCCTGTCTTAAAAAAACCCCCAAATTATGTTACTATTCAGAAGCCTGGTGGTAGTTTTTGAAACCTTGGCCTCGTACCTGGGCCCCTAAAGAGCTCTCTCCCATCAGCTCACCTTCTTTTTGGTTGCTCCAAAAAGAAGGAACCTTTGTGCATTCAAATCTTGTTCTTTTCATGTACAGTCATTTTTTTGGAATCCACAGGAGATTGGTGTCCACAATCTGTGAGTGCTCAGACCTTTATATAAAATAGAATAGTATCTGCATATAACTCATGCACTTTGTGCCTTAAAATCATTTAAAAATTTCTTTTAATACCTGATATAAATGCTATGTAAATAGTTGTTAGACTGTACTGTTTAGGAATTAATGAAAAGCAAAAAGTCTATACATGTTCAATACAGACAACTTTTTTCTTTCCAATATTTTTCATCCGTAGTTGGTTGAATCTGTGGATATGAAACCTGTGGATATGGAGTGCTGTCTGTAATAGATTATTTTCTTCTTCTGAGCCCTTGTTCATGCCATGCCCTTTATGTAGAACTTTGGTTTCCAACTCTTTTGACAAGACCCAAAACTATGAACTATATTTTATATTGGAAATGATCATAGTTTTAAAGTTTCTCAAAGCATCATCTTTCATCTTTTGCTACACACAGTATGATCTGATGTGTGTGCGTGCATGTGTGCGTGTGTGTGTGTGTGTGTGTGTGTGTGTGTGTGTGTGTGTGTGTGTGTGTGTGTGTGTGTGTGTGTGTGTGTGTAGTATGTTTGGCAGTACTGGGAATTGAACTCAGGGCCTTGCACATGCTGGTAAGTGTTTTACTACTGAGCTATATTCTAAGGCCCTCTATTTTTTTTAAGTTGGTTGATACCCAATAAGGATACTTCATGGCTCAAAAATCGATCTTATCCTGCAGCTTTAAACCACTAACCTGATCTAGAGTGACATCTCTTGAAAAATGTACATTTTTCAATTTATTTAACATCTAGCCTTTAGTGGCTCAGTGGTATGATGCTGACTACCATGCTTGAGGGTTCTGGGTTTAATACTAGTATCACCAAACATAAGTAAATAAGTAAAGTTCTCTTTGTCTATTATTGTTTCCTGGAAAAACCTTCTATACAAATGTTCTTAACCTTGACAAATGTTCTTAATATGTTACTCTACAAAAAATATGCATTAACTATTTATAAATTCTTTCTTTGTGACAAATTTGTAAATTGAAGTTTGTAACTATTGTTTTTTGTTTATTGTGCCCTGAAGTATCAGACACAAAATATTTAAAAAATTTAGAAGGAAATAGTGTGCTAAATGGTGGCTCTTTAGTCTTAGTATTAAAAGTTAGTTTGGAGCTGGCTATGTAGCTCAGTTAGGTAGAGTGCTTACCTAGTATGTACAAGGCCCTGGGTTTTCTCCACAACACCACATAAACTGAGCCTTGTGGGGCATACCTGTAGTCCCAGCACTCAGAGTGTAGCAACAGGAGGTTTGGTTAAGTCATTTTAGGCTGTAATACCCTGTCTTTTTTAAAAAAAAGGCAGAGAGACAGAAATTTGCCATGCATTGAAAACTACATAAATTCAACTTTGTATATACTAGACACAAATTTAACTGCTCAGCATAAAGCAAGATCCTAGTATTAAGCAAATTGGTTTATACATCTTGGTAGTTCTTGGTTCCCTCTTCTGAAACACATGTACACTGTAGTATCAGAGGGATTTTTAGAAATCAGGTCATGATTTTATTATCCAGTGATTCATCTAGAGGCAACACATGTAACCTGAAAATGTTTTTGAAAATGATTCACTTAATGGTAATCAATACTTAACAGCTAAAGGAAAGTTAGGTTTTTGTAGACACCGTAAAAAGAACCATCATCTTATACTTTATTCTCTTACATTGTTCAGAGCAATGTACATACTCTGACTAAATCAGTACCTTTTGTTTTTCCCTCCTAGTCATGTGGTATTCTTCCTTATTTCCTAATGTATTATGAAATATATTGTGTCCTTTGTATCTAGGTCTTAAAATGTTACCAACTACTTTACTAAGTCTTTACCAGTATTCCCCTTTGACAAATGAGGAATTGAGACTCATATTATTTTCTTCAAAGCCTATTGTAAGTTGCAGCAAGGATTAGAATTTACTTTATTTAACCTCAATCCCTGGTTTTTCTACTTTTTCTATAGTACTATAGCTTGCTTTAAGACTCATTTTAACATTATCTTTTTGATAAAATTAAAATCATTTTGAGGAAAGGCAACTTCAGCTTTACTTATTGTTTAAAATATACTTAGTAAAGAATCCTGATCAGATTACTATAATCAAGCTCTTGATAGGTAGGAGCTATGTCTTTTTAATCTTAAGTATCTCACTGCTTAATGTGACTGTGATATAATATGTTTGGCCTTTGTCCCCTCTTCCTGACATAAAAAATCTAAAGCCCTTGGTATTTCCTTAGGGTTAGTAGTGGTAAGAGTGTCTTCTGTTGCAATGAGTTATTTCTTGCCTGGACCCCTAAATAGCTTCAGGTTGGGGCTGGTCACCAGAAAGATAAAGGCATGATTAGAAGTTACTTCTGTACCTCTGGGGAGGTAGAGGTAATTAACAGTGGCCAATGATTAAATCAGTCATGTGAAATGGAACTTCCATTAAAAAAACTGTAAATGATAGTGCTCAGAATCTTGTAGTTGGTGTGTGTGTCTGTATATCAAGGCGCTAGAAGAACGGTGCACCTGGAGAAGGCATGGGAGCTATACATTCCTTCCCCCAGGCTTTGCCCTAGGCATCTCCTTCCATTTGGATATTCTAGAATTGTATTCTTGAAAGTAAACTGGTAATAGTAAAGTGCCTTGAGTTCCTTTGCCATTTTACCAAATTATTGAACATGAGGGGATTGTGGGAACCTTTGATTAATAAATAGCTGCTTGATTGGAAACACAGAAAGCTCAGGACTTGTGACTGGTATCTGAAGTGGAAGCAGTCTTGTGAGATATGTGGTAGATGATGTCAGAATTGAGTGGAATTATAGGATTCCTACTTGCTTTTGGGAGAATTGGGAGAATCTCCTTGAATCCTCTCCGGGTGAGAGAAAGAGACCTACATATTTGATGTTAAGCCTTTATGCTTGTTTTTTAAAAAAAATATTAGTTTTGAAATTATAAAGGTAACACATGTTTTTTAAGGTGAATATTTTGTAAGATTCAAAAGTTGAAAAGTAGAAACCATGAAGTTTGCTATCCGTACTTCTCAGGGATACTAATTAAAAACAGTATTGTTGGGGCTGGATGACTCACTGGTTAAGAGCACTGGCTGCTCTTACAGAGGATTTGGTTTGATTCCCAGCACCCACATGTTCAGAATTATATCCATCTTGATATGTATTAAATATAAAAATTGAGATTTTAAATCTTTTAAAATGAGTTTTGAAATCCAGTATGCATTTTATACTGATGATATATCTCAATTAGAACAATAAATGTTCATTAGAAATATTAATGTACTGTATGACAATATTTTGCTTAGTAGTGGACCATATATTAGATAGTGGTCCCATAAGATTATGAATGGAGCTGAAAAATTGATGTCATCTAGTGATATTGTAATGTAGCATAATTTGTATGTTTGTGGTGATGCTGGTATAAACAGATCAGTACAAACCATATGAAAGCACAGCACATTTAATTGAGAATAAATGACTGCTACTGGTTTATGTATTTGGTATACTGTACTGTATTTTAATATTTTAGTGTATATTCCTTTTATTTACAAAAACAGTTTGCAATAAACCAGTGGGTTATCTTTAAGCCTCAGCCTTACACATTGCATGTTTCCTACATGCCTTGATGGGATCAGATGTCCTCATTGAACTGATCTGTATCAGCTGAGTTTGTGCATATGTTCTTTGATGTTTGTATATATCAACAAAACTGCCTAATGACACATTTCTTAGAACCTTGTCCCCTTGAGACTATGGTTGATGTGCATTTAAATTTTATTAAATTCATAGTTTAAAAATAGAGTCACATATCCAAATTGCTCCAAAATATTTGAAAGTTTTCTAGTAACTGAGTCGAGTATCAGTTATTAAATTTAAGTTAATTAAAATTAAATTTAAAAGTTAGTTCTCCAGTTATTCCTGTCACATTTGAAATGTTGAATATCTACTTGTAGCTACACTGCCATGTTTGACAATGTAGTTTTAACAGCTTCATGGTACTCCATTATAGAGATTTTCTATAATTTATTCAATTTTCTGTTGGTAGACATTAGGTACCTTTTCCTAAGTTAAAACAATGCTACTACAGTGGATATCCTTGTATAAATACATTATAGAGGATAGATTTCTAAAATGGTTAATCATTTTACATTTTTGGTAGAAATTGCCCTCCCAAAACATTGTGTAGAGCCAACAGTATATGAAGTCTATTTCTCTATATAGTTCTCGACACTCAACATTATTGGTCTATCATACCAACAATACAAAAACCTTATGCCAAAGTAACAATTTTTTGCATGTTTATATCAACTTTTGAGCCTGGAAAGGAGGCTCAGTGGGTAAAGTCACTTGCTGTGCAAAAATGGTGACCTGAGTTCTATTCCTG